GGAAAGCTTTTTGATTTACTGTTTTGAAATAAATGCGAGTTTTGTTTTTACAAACATAATCTAAAATCTCCTTGGTCAGAGGACAATCACTGTTTATTTGCAACTTTCTTACTGAAGCCCTGTGAATCTTCTAGAATAGAAAAAAATATGCAAAGGAGTAGAGTAACTGAAAGAGCTATATTTAGTAGGTGCTTGAAAAATTCCGTAACCTCTAAATTATGATGGAAAGCTTGGATTTCTGTATTTATTATATTGTTTTACCTATAGTCTCCTGAAAAGAAAAGGAATGGGAAATAGAGAATAAGGAAACAAAGGTTGATGTAAAAGTTCCCCATGTTCTATTCTTGGATGCCAGAAAACGCGTATCATCTTTGTATTTTTCTCATGCCTTGGGAAAAAGAGTACTCTGGGAGTTATTGGAGAACAAAATTGGTTTCTGTCACTTCCTGACAATGATGTGGCTACTCTTAAAATATTTTCCCCCTAAGAATAACCTTGCCTATTGCTGTTATTACATCCAAATGGCTGTTATGCTTCCATGTTTCTATTCCTGGAGGCCTGCACAAGTAGGTAAGCTACATGCAGCGAAGAATTTCTGAGTCTAGTTTGCCTCTCGTTTGCTACTGTTTATTCCTGTGTTCCTTATTTTCACTGTTACAAGCTGTGCTCCTTTCAAGGTGTAATTCCTTGAAAGTGAGGCATCAAGCAGCCCACAGCAAGTCGGAGGCAGAGGTTGAGGAACACTGTTACGATCATAGGGAACAAAGAGAGGGAAGAAGCAGCTCTGAAGTACTTTTTTCATTTAGATTTCCTGCATGTACACATGCCTTTCCTGTACTGGGAATTAGGGAGCAATAGACATGCCATAGGAAGGTAAGCTCTACATAACGTAGTGAAAGCATAGTAACACACTGACCACAAGAATGTATATGAATGCAATTCCTGCTTTAGAAGAACCCTGATCAGGATGTGTGTTGTTGGCTTTCTTTTGTGTTTTGGGCCCTAGCTCTTTTTGGGAGCTCTCTTATCCACCTGTGGTTTTGAAACTATCCTAATAGCATGAATGTCAAGAAAAAAAAGAGGTGCCTGTGTAGAAACTGATCATATTTATTTCAGAATGACTGTTCTTTTTTGTCTTAGACTTTTCCTATAGCTGCAGATTATGGTTTTAAGGTGTATGAACTATTAAAAAAGAAAGAAATATTTTCCATAGAGGTTTGAATCCATTTTCCTCACTACTTTTTTGTAGTTCCGGGATTATTGTGTCATCTGCTTACGGTGGGAGTGGCCCGGATCTCCCAGATCTTTGGAAAAGTGCAATTTAGAAGCATCATTTTTTGAAGGGCACTTCTTGAAAGTCCTCTTTGACAGAATGGGCAGGATTCTTGATCAGGTAAGGAAAAGCAGCTTCTGAATTGTGCTTCCAATACTTTCATCACTACTGAGGGACTGATCTCTAAGGTCCCAAGGATTTCCATCATTCAGATGTCTATGACAGCATCATATTGTTGTGTAATGTCCCATGTCCTTAGCACAGGTCTCTGTAGACTGCAGGATGTTATAGCGGTCAGCAGTCTCAGCAAAAGTAGAGAACAAAAACTCTTATCTTAGTTACCCACTTGTTAGTGTACCACATGTTTTCTTGACCAGAAATAGGATTTAAATTAGTACATAAAACAAGAATATCCTCTAAGTAAAAGAGGAGGGTAAGATAGTGTCTTAGGAATCCTTCTGTACTAGCATCACTGATTCTGTTTTCATTTTCTAGCATTTCCACTTAGAAAGCACTTGTATTTTTCAGTAAATAAAATACTGGACAGTTCCTTTGTGCCACGTTTCAGTGAACTTCAATCTGAAGTCACATTCTGGACGCAGTTTACATCACTGTGTGATATGAAGAGAACTTGGATGTATCACTGTGAACATTTCTGCCGTATCTTTGTGGTTAGAAAAAATTGTAACAGTGCATGGAAAGTTTCTAGAAGGTATCCTTTTCCATCTGCAATGTAAAGTAGGTTTTTTTCCCTGTTTGATTATCTCCAGATAATAGAAGTATAGCTGCCAAGGGGAAACAAATGAGATACGATCTGACTGACTCCTTGGAGCTGGCTGAAAAGGAGATGTGACAGGTCAGACCCAGATTAATACAAAGGAATTTAAAGGAAGTGAAAAGTAAATTTTCCTGATGTCTGTTTCTGTACTTAGCGAGCCTGCATGACCTAGTCTTTCTGGGGAGAAACGAAGTAAAGGGTTAGGGAGGTGAAAAAGAGGTTGCCCTGTGTGAAAACCTGGTGTTTCTTTGCCTTCTCTAAACTGACTTATGTTAGTCAGGTCAATGTTGCTGCTTTAGATCAAGAAGATAACTTTTCTTGCCAGTGAGAATGAGCCCTGAAAGTCTTGATTACCCTCCCTGTAATACCAGCTGGAGCTGCTACAGGTGCAGTAGTACCAGTTTCAGATGTTTGTACAATTCTTCTCTGGTTTACATGTGGAGCAATCTGCAGAATAAACAATTAGCTGTGGTGGTGCCAGATTTCCTGGTTCTGAGCAGGACAAGAGTCATTTGAACATATAAATGCATAGGAAACATGTCAGGGAGCCAGGAGTAGCCTCTAGGTCAGCTCTGTGTGAGTGTTCAGGGGAGAAGGATGCTTCAGAGTACCAACTTTGGTAATTCAGAAGTCAGAAAAGAAAGCCAACTACTTCGATTACTGTACTGTGTATTCTCAGGGTTTTGCTTCCAGTAAATGTATTCTGCCCACCGTACTAGCTGAAGTGGTTATGGATTAGAGTCATGAAGAAAACAAGGCATCATCAGCTCTTAGGAAAAAGAAGCCTCACGTATATGAAAACCTCGTCTGAACAATGACACAGAAATTACAAAAAGTAACAACCCAAGTTACATCCCCTGAGAAACACCTGAGTGTCAGATCCCTACAATTACAATGTAAGCAGCATCTAGTGTGGAAACACATTTTGATATATACTACCTGTCAGCATGACACACAGTTGGGTTAGTTAAGGAAGGTGTTATGATCTGTGGTGTCAAAAATGGTTCTTGACTCCAAAAGAATTTAAATTAACACCTTGAATCAGAGAGAAGACTTACATTCTTATTATATCTTAACAAAACTATATCCTAAGAAACCAAACTGTTATTCACAGTGAAACACACAAATCATGCAGGGAAAAAGCCACATGAAACAACAAAACAACAAAATCTGAGTCCTGTGAGTGATAAATTTGACATAATGGATGCTAATGTCCAGACAAAGTGAAAAATGATGAAAGGCCTTTAGCGGGGACCCAGTACTACTTACAGATTGTGTTCAGTGTCTTTTGTGCTTTGTCACAACACTGTGGGTAGCTCTTGTGGTTTTATCAGTAGATACCAGAAAACTCTGAAGATACATTCGGTGTCATTAACCTTGTTTCTGACAGAAGACAGCTGAGGTACGCAAGTGAAGTAACTTGTTCCAAGGCTATTCAAATCCAGTACATCATTCCTCCTTTTAGTATTACACATTTCTATGGAACTGTTTCCAAAGAATTTTGTAAGGATTTCCTGAATTGCAGATTTTGCTGGTTTTGACCTTTTTAGTTACAGAGAATTTTTCTAGGATGTTATCTGACAAAAGACTGTTTTATTGAGTCTGCTGACATACGACAGAAATAAAAGCTCTGTGTGAAGAAGCAACTTTCCTTAATGCTCTCAATTAGTTCAATTTGCAACAGCAATCTGTCTGAACAGTGCAGCACATGTTAATACTTTGTTTCCTTCTGTTGTGAACACCAGATAATGGTCATGGTTTCAAAGCTTCCTAATGAATTGAGTGACTCAGACAACTCTAAAGACCTTCTCCTACAGTTCAGCTGCACAGACAGTGGAATGGATTTATGGGAGGAATTTGTGGCTCTGTCTGCAGAGGAACTTTTCCACAATAACTCCTAGTGATCTCTTTTACTGTTGACATCTCTGGTCCAGGATCTGAAAGCTTCATTTGTTAGAAGATTGGGATGAATCTATTACTGGAATATTGAGCACAAAAATACCTCCCACTGACTGGACAAAATACGGGCTTTCACTTCAGAAGGTCTGTAATACAACTCCCTTTGCAGTGCAGCAGTGTGTGGTAATGACTACAGGGATAACGTACCTAAACACTAAGTGTCCACATCTAGGCAGTGGAAATTTTGTCAGAGCAGGCCCAGTAGTCTCTGGAACTGTTACACTGAAAAGCAAATAGGTGACTCCTTTAGTGAATCACCATCTCAGCTTCCTTGACTGTAGAATTGACTGTAGGATTCCTTGACTGAAAGCTCAACTCAGTTGCTTGAACTGAGGTATCTCTTGCCATTTTTGTGGTGCCCAAGATATCCCCACACACTTGTGGTTACAACACAGATCTTGCAGGATTTACCTTCTGTGGAACCACTGGGAGACAAGCAGATACTCGTGAGCATCTGAGAAGGCACAAAATGCTTGTGTGTAGGCAAGTGCATCAAGTGTCAGGTCTCTCTGTTGAGTAGGCTAATGTGAGCTTAGACGTGTAGACATATCTAAATATATCTGTCTTAATCTGAAGCTGAATTCTTCCAGATCTTACAGTCTGGAAAAGGGAAGAAGCTGTTCTCTGATTCTTTGGTGGGATGCTAACTGGAGAGCATAAAGATGATAATTTGAGGCCATGAAACCATTCTCTTCTAGATGTGATTATGTAACTGAGGATGTTTCTGCCAATATGCAGTCAAAGAGATTGAATGAGGGCCCTGTAATCCACTGCAGGTAAAATCAGCAAGGTTAAGTTAGTAACACCATCTGGGTGTTAGTAGTATCTTCAGACTGGCATGGGGTGTACAAGGGAGTGTCTGTCTACCTCTTGTCACCCTAGTCCATCCCATCGCTGAACAGATGTAAAGAAAATCCACTAGTTTGCAAATTTTAGGCTGGATTAAAATGTCAGCTTGTTTTCACTGTGGTGACAAAATCAAAGATAGGGGAAAAAAGTACTGGGAACATAAAGAAGCTATGGTGAAAATACTTGCTTTTATGGAAATGAGTTTCTCAGTGGAATGGTAAGGACCTTTAAGCTAGGCACTGGGTTTTTCCATATGACTGATTAGCGTCTTGCAGCATCTGATGGTGTTGCCTCTCCCATTTGGTTGATTTGGGGAAAGGAGGTAGAGAAGAAGCTCAAAATACTATGATGTCTTCCCATCTTAGGAACATCCCATCATCTGGACCATGCCGCCACAAGATGACCAGATTTTCCACAATGTTCTTTCCAAGAAAAAAGAAAATAGAAGACTCCATACACATGGATTTGTCCCACTCAGTTTCCTGAGCTCATATACTTCATGGTTATATATATACTTTTCAGGAGAAGCAGGCATCCATTTAATCTTGGCTGATTCTATGCTATTTGTTTAGCTACTGACCTGAAGAAACGTGTTACAGGAAGAGGACTTATCCTACTGTAAACCAGTGTGCAAAAGTTTCAAGTGGTTGTAGCAGTTATACAGATAATAATAGCTAACACCTAACTGTCATATTCACATCACACCTGTTGTGGAAAGCAGAGGTTTGGGGCCTGTCTTCTAATCTAACTTTTTATTATTATTATTATTCATAACCCTGTATATAAGGTTCTAGTATTTAAACCAACACTGGCTGGATGAAAAGAAGCCAGCATGAAAACAACTAAGCACTGTGTTCTCCTTTTTTTTTTTTTTTTTTTGCAGCCCTATGATGTAAATTTACAAGTTACGTCAGTGTTGTCCAAACTGTCCTTGTTTCCTCATCCTCATATACATGAATACCTTTTGGATCCCTATGTGAACCTGGCTTCTGGCTGCAGGTCTCTCTTCTCTGTTATTGTCAGGGTGAGTAAACACACAGTTAATGTTTACACATGGCCACAGAGCAGTAATACACCTAGGATCTTTGTAGTTAGTGGTAGTAATTGCTGGGTACTTGTAAGCTGGCAAATGGCTTCTCACTGAAAGTGTATTCTTAGCTCTTGATTTGAATCAAGGTTTTGTATTTGCTACCAAAACCATAGGAAAATTTATTTCTGTGTCCTCACGTCTTCAAGGTCATTTGTTTGCTTAGTCTCATTCCGCAGATGCAAAATATCCCCTCTGGCAATGATGTTAGTTTAAACTGGACTAGGTCACCACATTGTTGTCACTTGCAGGCAGCATCAGGCAGTGCTGTAAGAGGAGACAAAGTGCAGCTTTGCGCTTGGACAAGCAAGGCATGGCTTTGATTCACACACGAGCAAAGGACACTCCTGAATCCCCTGTCCTAGGATGAGTATCTCTGCTCATCCTCTTTTTTTTTTTTTTTCCAATGAAGGCTGTTCTCGGCAATGAAGTGATGGGTTTATTGAAAGTCCCCTTCCTTTGCCTCCGTTTTCCATCCCTTCCTGCCAGACCTACATCCTAGAAGTGCTGGCTGCCTGCCTGTCACACTGCAGTCTTCTCTGTCAGAGATCCCGCAACTACCCCACGCACCAGCTGTTGTTAAGCTGGTCAGGAGCCTATTACTGATGCTTGCCCAGTACTAACAGAGGGCTTAGCTCCCTTTTTCCCAGCAGCCCTCCCCATTTCCAAATTTAATCTTTACCCTCTCCCCTTGTGCATTCCCTAAACCCAGGAATTTGCTGGTCAGTTGATTGCGTCAACATTTACTCAGACAAATTAATCGTTGACATAATTAAAATAAGTAGTACTATTTGTGGTAACAGCTAGTAAGGCCTAAGAGTTCCTGTCCTTTTTTATCTCTTTACTTTCTGCACCAACTCACCCTGTTTTAGGGCAGAGCAGGTATTCTGCGTGTTGTTTTGTGAGCCTGAAGTGGGTCTTCATTCTGGGCACTGAAGGCGTCATTTAAGCTTGCTGCCAGGCACTCTGCAAAGGTGTTAATTTTGTGTGTTGATGACATTGTGCTTCACAGGTCGTTGGGGACCTCATGGTTAGAATTCAGCGCATCCCAGATTTCACTCCCAAGCTTCTGCTGGTCAGAAAACGCCTGCTGGGCTTGGAGCCCGAAGGGCCCATGTGAGTAAATACACTGCATGTTCTCCAAGCCCCATGGCAGCTGCTTTTCGTTTGTGCCAGTCCTGATTCTCTGCTGATTTTTTTTTTTTTTTTAAATTTCTCAGCATTGACCACATGACGTTACTAGAGGGCGTGATTGTGCTGGAAGAATTCTGCAAAGAGCTGGCAGCAATTGCATTTGTGAAGTATCATGCCTCATCTACACCATAAGCAGCCTTGATGAGTAGCCAAGGTGTAAAACCACCCAGCTTGTTTCGGTCAAAAAGACTGTTGACAACACCCAGATAAGAAGACGTGGTGCCTCCTGGCAAAGCATCGGTTGACATTTGGCAGAACTGGAAGACAAGTTACTTTCACCAGATGTTGACATTGCAAGAGAGAGTGATTCAAATGGATCTAGAATATGATGGAAGGCATTTTGGGAGAAACCAATATATAGCATTTCTGTCCACTGTGTGAAGAGCTGCAAAAGCTGCACAAAGAACCGCAGACGTCAGACCTTGGTTATTGTGTTATAATGACCATGTTGGGGAGCTGGGTCTTTTGTATGTTCTGAGGCTCGCATGTGCGAATTTGCTTTTTGTGACCATATTACTTTTTAAAAGCAAATTAATTTTGTAACATTTTTATGTCTTAATTATTTTTCTTTTCAGTTGGATATATGAAAGGAAAACACAATTACAGGTGATATATATATTATTAAAAAAGAAGAGGTTCAAAAAACCCACTAATCCATATATAGGGGGATATATTACAGAGGAATCATTTTTGTTTCAACGAATCTTGAAGACAGCTTGGAGCTTGATTCCCCAGTGGATTACTCCAGGAGATATATCAGTATAAAATCAATACTAATGGAATTAATGCTAATTCAGCATCACATCTATAACAAATATATCTGAGGTGTACATGTTCCTAGCATGTTTGTCTGTGTCATTCCAAGTGATTGTTCTTAAGGTCATCTGTGTAACTAGATTTAATTTAGGTTTTTGCTTTTGAGCTCTAGTTACTTGACTCGTATCATTACCTTTACAGGGAAGTTAATTGTAGGTCGTTAGTAGTTTTTGCTAAAACAGTATTTTTAGTTTCTTTTAAATTGGTATTGAGCCTGAATTGGCTTAAGAGACTTTTGTGCCTTGAAAATCTCAGCATAAACATTCTGTCATTTTTAGAAATGTTTTTATTGCTTGTCATACCATCATAGTAGTGTCCAGCAAAAGATTGACCGACGCCAATTCAGTTAAGGCCCCGATACCATATATAGGACCAAAATCACAGCGCTGGGACACAGAAACATCTCTCGGTGCATCTTTTCCAAGAAGAATGCTCTCAGCCAGGCCCGGCATTCACGCTGCAAGCAGAGGGGCCGCTCGGACCTTGTGCTCTGCTTCTGTTTCTCTGGTGGGGCGGCAGCCTGCACCTGAGGCTCTTTTCTGCTGCTCATGCTCATGGCCACGCATGCTGGAGGGTTTGGGAGCTGGGCTTAAACCTCTGAGCCACTCTTGAGCAGCCACTGCTCTCCCCACAGGCGCACAGCAACTCCTTCGCCTCCCGCAGATGTCATAGTGTAGGCCAGCAAGGTAGAGTCCAGCTTCCGTTGTGGTTTTTCGTTTGTCTTTCCTCCTATTCTATTTGCACAGCTAATGCCCCTTTCAGGTGTGATCGCTCACATGCAGATACAGACAAACTTACTCAGTCACTAGAATTTTTCTGAATTTACGTGGCTGTACTGAGAAACGGATTCTTCTCTGAATCCATGCCTTTGAGGTCTTGTGGTTTTTTTAATATTTATGGAACCTGGATGTTGAAAGGCCTTTTAAGTTAGCAGGTTAATTAGAACAGTGTCACAGTTAATGGGCTAAATTTATTCTTGTCACAACAGTGAAGAGGTTCCTGCTGTAAAAGCTCCCAGTATAGGTTCAGCTGGAGAGAGCAATGCTGGAACCTGAGGAAACATTTTGGCAGGTAAAACCTGTATTCAGTGGCTCCCTGTACTGGAAGGCTTCTGTACAAAGTGTTGGCATTTATCTGGCAAACAAAAGCATGTTTTACTTCCTCACTGCTTTTTTTTTGTTTTCAGAGTTTAGCCCCAAAATGTTTTCAGGTCAAAGTAGCGTATAGGATAAAGTTTAAAAAAAAACACTTTTTTTTTTCATTTTTGTTCTTTAGAAACATACCTTGAAAGTAGCAAATAATTTTTAGTGACATATGTTGCAGTCAGTCCATGTTAGAAACTCCGTTAATGTAACGTGCCTGACACATAGTTTAGAACATGTAAATGTCCATGCAAAGTGATGCTTAATATGTACATTTGTTATAAATAAGATCCTAGTTCAGCAAAGCAATTAAACATCAGCTTAATTTCCAGAATCTTATTCCTAAACCACAATCTTTTACATGAACAAAGTTCAACACAAAAGCTGATGCATTACTGAAATTGGGTCTTTCTTGGTTTTGCTTGAGCTTAATTCCTTTTTCCTCCAATTTTCTATTTTGACTATTTATATTTTAAAGTGTATGTTCCAGAATACTTTTACTGTCCAAATTTAAGTGGAAACTGGAAGTGATAACAGTACTATAAATGAAGGTGAGAGAAATGTTAAGCAAAACTTGCAAGAGCATTCCAAGTAATATAGCAATTTATAAAGCCATTCAAGAGATGCCTGATCTTAGATGAAAGCATTAGCATCACCTCTTGTGTTGTTGTTTTCACTGATACCTGAGCTCATTACACTGTAAGGAATTGTAGCAGTCAGTTTTGGGAAGGACTGCTGCAACCTCCCTGGCTTTTTAATGCAAAACAGTCTACCTTGCTGCAAACACAATTCCGTCAAGCTTGTCCATGAAAAGAATAAGTAGATATAACTATAAGCACTCTTAAATTCAGGGTGTAGTTGTTCGATCTCCAGCAACATTGGTGATGTTCTTGCATGCCAAACGTTAGTTAGTTGATAAATTTATAGGACATGGATCCATCCTGATAGAAGTGAAGCAATCCTTAAAGTTGCTTTAGCCTGAACTATTTTTATGAGTGCTGCCTAAGACCCCTTAATTACCATACATGATGACAATGACCTTTATTTTTGTAAAAGTGGGTGAATCTTCCTTAAGAGATGGAACTCATTTAATTATTTTTTTTGTGATGATATTCATGCACTTTTTTTTTTAAAAAAAAGAATTTAGAAGTTAGTTCGGGTCCGTGTTTTCACCTTTCCAATCTATGCATGTCATCGAGGTGCCCGTTTTGTTTCTGTGTGCGTGTATTTGTATGTGGTTATTTATTACCCAGAGGTGGATACCTGAGCAAATCTGTGGCCTGAAACTCACAGCATATGCAGATCCCCCAGATGTCAGTGGGGAATGCAAATGCTCATCACCTTAGAAAACACGGCCACTAGTATTAGACTGAAATACTTGAGAGGTAATACTAGAATAATTTTTTATTTCCAAAAGGAGATCCAAGCCACATTGTAATCCTGATGCACATGTGTGTAAATAGACACATTTTTTACTTTATTTCCATTTATGGTATGTATTTGATTTAGACTCTGATATAGAAAATTTTGTAATAAGCCATGTGCTAGCTTGGGTAGACCAAGTTTGTCCTTAGTTTCTCATATGACTGTAATATTCCTGCTATTCAGATCCTGTCTGTGTAATGTTCTTTCTATGTATTTGTCTGTGCAATATAAAAGCTGTGACTTGGTGCACAGCTTGAGTCTGGTTGTACATCACCTATGTATATATATACACACACACATATATATATATAAGGACCAGAATCCCAAGTTTGCTTACACTATGATTAGTGTAAAGATTCTCACACTTGATTTTACAGGGCACAAGTAGTTATGGAATGGCTTTGTAAATGCATGGTAATTTCTACCATAACCTGCTGTGTAATTTCACAGATGACATTTTATCAATGCTATTTGTCTTACTAAAAGAATTACCAAACCGAAGTGCTAGGTAAAATCAAAGGATTGCATAGTAGACTTGGGGCTACATGGAAAATCCGTATCTGATATTGCGTGTCATACAGTTTTCAAACCATGATCCTCAGTGCTTTCTGTGCCCTGTAAAATAGTGTAACTATATAAAATATATACTCTTTGTTTTGCCTCCTGCCTTGTTTACATTAAACAGAGGATATTCAGTAAAATTTTTCTATTAAACTTTGTGTAGGTCACTTACTGGTAACATTGCCAAGGTTTCATAAGTGTGGGATTTCCATTGAGGAATTGCTGAAACAGCCACATTACCAAACAATATTAAGTTTTATGAAGGAGGTTGTCATAAATTCCAACTTTTTGCACTAAAGAATGCATGAAGGATTAAAAGGGATATTCTCAAAATAAATTAATTTCATCGAAGCGACTGCTTCTATTATTACAGGATCTGTAACAGGTTTTGTGTGGATGACCTTGGGACAGAAAATGTAACATTTTACATCACCCTTTGATCCTGAAGTCCTTTCACTGATGTTTATTACATCCTGAAGCCCTTTCATTTATTTTGAGTCTCTCACTGCAGCATCTTCTGGGATGAACCTGTTTCCTGTCCTGTACTGTGCAGGCCTCCGAGTGAATCGACAGACCCTTCTTGCCCATGAAGATGGGAAGCTGAGGGAGATGGCCAGGATGGAGTCATCCTGAACACAGATTAACTAACGTCTTGCTCTCCCTGAGAGCCCTGATATCTTTCAAGACCGCAGCTGGTTGAACCTTTGGTTTTCTGTTGCATTAGAGTGCAGAGTGCATCAGTCACATTAGTTTATTGAACTGGGTAAAAATGTCATGTATGTGAGCGAGCACCTTCCATCAGGGCCTTTGAGGAAGGCTTTTATACATAAGTTTGTATACATGTTTTCCTATATTTTAGAATTGTATTTGTTGGGTATTTTTCCTCATTGTCTCGTCTAGTTTCGGTGTCTTTCAGGTTTTCATCAGCTTTTTAAAAATCTCGTTGCTCTGTCAGATCCCTTCTAAGGGCTACACTTGGATGTTAAGCCGTTTCTCCTCAGTATTTAACATCTGCTGGTGCTCTTGCATCTTTAAGAAGAGCGCTACAGCAAGATGATACACTTGACACCTTTTTTTATAGCTCTCTGCATCTTTCCCCCATCCTCTTGGGTCTCAGAGATTGTCATCTCCCACCCCAGATCATTTACTTGCTGTGCCTGCATGAGGCATTTAGAGATGTAAGGGCAT